TTTCCCTACTATTACGGCCCTGGTTCAAGTCCTTTCCTCCTACCAGTACTACTGCAAAGAGCAATGACTGAGCTCACTGAGCTCCCCACATCACCATACATTCTATAAATAATTATTGAGTATCTCCTATATGCTAGACACTATTAGTGGCATTGAGAACTGAACAAGTTTGACAAAAATCCTTGTCCTCACAGAGCTTACATTCTCATGGAAACTTGTCCTTCTAATCTATTCTCTATAAATAAGTGGTCCTCCAACGCAGTTCTGGGGCCAACAGCATCAGCATCACCTGAGAACTTGTTAGGCATACTAATTCTCAGGCTCCACCCCAGAACTACTGAATCAGCAGCTCTGGGGGTGAAGCCAGAAATCTGTTTTAAGAACCTGTCTAGGTTATTCTGATACACTCTAAAGTACCATTGCTTTAAAGTCTAAACCAATGCTTTCAAACTGCAGACTGCAACCCTTTAATAGGCAGTTAAAAGTCAATTCGAATTTTTCTTGTAAATGCAATCAAATAAAATGTCAGACTGTACCCTATCAAGTCAGACTCTGTGAAACACAAGTCTAAAAATCTGCATTTTTAACCATCAATCCAGAAAATTCTCACTCTAAAAATCAAGCTCCTTAATGGAATACAGGTTACCTATCTAACTGCTACTATAACTTGCTCTGTCTTCTAATGATGCCTAACTACTTGCAGTTCCCTGAATATAGCATACATAACTCATCTGAACCTCATAATTCCCACAACAGGGCAAATGTCAGTTACACGGCCTCAAAGAAATACTTCACTGCCTGTATACCTTAATTATTTTAAGTTTAATATTCACTAAATCTAACTTTATATGTGTAAGGTACTTTTTATTAATTTTTTACTTTTCAATTACAGTTGACATGCAATATTATATTAGTTTCAGGAGTACAACACAGTGGTTAGACATTTATATAATTTATGAAGTGATCCCCCTGAGTAGTCTAGTACCTGTCTGGCACTATACAGTTATTAAAGTATCATTGACTATATTCCCTATGCTGTACTTTACATCCCCATGACTAATTTGTCCTACCAATTTGTACTTCCACCCATCCTCTCAAACCCCTCCCATCTGGCAACCATCAAAATGCTCTGAGTTTGTTTTATTTTGTTCTTTAGATTCCACATGTAAGTGAAATCATGCGGCATTTGTCTTTGTCTGACTTACTCTACTCAGCACAATATACCCTCTATGTACATCCATGTTGCACATGGCAAGATTTCATTCTCTTTTATGACTAAGTAATATTCCACCATACATATATGAGTCATAAAAGAGAATGAAAGAGGTCACACGGTCACACACACACACACACACACACACAATCACCTCTTTATTCATTCATCCATTGGTAGACACCCAGGTTGCCTCCGTATCTTGCCTAATGCTGCAGTGAACATATGGATGCACAAGTCCTTTCATAGTAGTAGTTTCGGTTTATTCGGATAAATACTCAGAAGTGGGATTACTGGGTCCTTCTTTGTCTTTCATTATAGCCTTTGTTTTAAAGCCTATTTTGCCTGGTTTAGTATTGCTACCCTGGTTTCTATTGTTTCCATTTTAATGAAATACTTTCCGTTCCTTTACATTGTCTGTGTCTTTCAATCTGAAGTCTCTGATAGACAGCATATGTAAGGGTCTTGTTTTCTTATCCATTCAGCCACCCTATCTTTTGATTAGAGAATTTAATCCGCTTACATTTAAAGTACTTATTGATAGATATGTAGTTATTGCAATTTTATTATTCATGTTTTTCTTTTTTTTCTTCTTCTTCTTAAAGAAATCCCTCTACCATTTCTTGTAATACTGGTTTGGTGGTAATGAACTACTTCAGCTTTTTCTTGCTTGAGAAGCTCTTTATCTGTCCTTCAATTTTAAGTGATAGCTATGCTGGGTAATCTTGGTTGTAGGCCCTCACTTTTCATCACATTTAATATTTCATGCCAATTCCTTCTGGCCTGTAAAGTTTATGTGGAGAAATCAGCTGACAGTCTTATAGGAGCTCCCTTGTATGTAACTGCTTTTCTCTTGTTGCTTTTAAGATTCTATCTTTAAACTTTGGCATTTTAATTATGTGTCTTGGTGAGGGCCTCTTTGAGTTCATCTTATTTGGGACTCTGTGCTTCCTGGGCTTGTATGTCTATTTCCTTTGCCAGATTAAGGAAGTTTTCTGTCATTATTTCTCCAAATAGGTTATCAATTCCTTGCTCTCACTCTTCTCTTTCTGGTACCCCTATGATGCAAATATTGGTATACTTGATGTTGTACTACAAGCCCCTTAAACTATCCTCATTTTTTTGAATTCTTTTCTCTTGCTGTTCTGATTGGGTGTTTTCTGCTACCTTCTCTTCCAAATCACTGATTTTATCTACTGCTTCACCTAATCTATTGTTGATTCCATTTAATGTATTCTGTATTTTAGTTATTATAGTCTTCATTTCTGACTGGTTCTTTTATGTCTTCTATCTCCATTTTTGTGTTTCCTATCTCTTTACTCAATTTCTGAGATGACTGAGGATCCTTATAACCTGCATCTGATAGATTGCTTGTCTCCATTTTGTTTAGTTCTTTTTCTGGAACTTTGTTCTGGTCTTCCATTCAGGACGTTTGTCTTCCCATTTTGGCTGCTGTCCTGTGTTTGATTCTATGTATTAAGCAGGGCTGCTGCTATGTCTCCCAGTTTTAGTAGGTGTCCTGTGGGATCCAATGGCACAGTCTCCCTCGTCACCTGAGCCAGATGCTCCAGCTGTGCCTGTGTGGGTTGTGTGACTCCCTGTTGTAGTTGAGCCTTCGTTACTGTTGGCACATCAATGGGAGGGGCTAACCTTCAGGCTGATTGGTTATGGGAACTGGCCATGGCCTCAGTAGAGAAGCTGTTATACAGGGGTGACCCTAT